CTGAAATCAACCACTGGGATGGACAAGAAGACGAACATGACGAGGAGATCAGAAGGCAAACCGTTCAGGAATGGAACGACATGTTTCAATTTGTTCATGAGCCGTTCAACAATATTTTCCAGGCGCTCGATGATGGACTTGCACACGTCATGTTCAAATTACAGCTGGCCAAGCCGCCGAAAAAGAAGAAGGGCCAAAACCAGGACGACGCTGAAGCGAAGGGTGACGCTATCAAACCAGGAGAACCTGGCTTCGCAGAGTACATGCAGAAGCAAGCTGACGCCTTCTTCAGCAGGAAGGAACCTACTTTGCGCCATTGGGTCGAAACCAAGGGCATCAAGCTTCGCGACGATTACTTCTCGTCTCCATCAGCACTTGACGAAGAAACTCTGAAGCTCATGCCAAGCATCACCACACGAAACCGGGATCAACGACAGCTCTTCATGGTACTCTACGTCATGTTCCTACTCAACTCCATAAGTCGGTCCGTGATCGAATTTGTCAAATTCGCAGATGAGCGCGATCAGGCGACTTTGAAAAGCAAATTTATCTGGCCTGGTGGACGGCGCTTCAAGAAATGGGCGAAGAGCATCTTCGCGAGCCAGGACTCCACCTCCGACGACGAGACGACAGTTGCTGGTTTCGACAGGAGCAACACCACTGTTTATATGGGCGAAGCATATAAAGAGAAAAAAGATCCCGAGCATTTGCCACCTACAAACGCGTGGCAGAAGTTCGGCAATGGTGTACGTGGCATCTCACGTTTCCTGCGAAGTGATGAGTCGGCTTTTGGTTTCCGCGCTGCGTGTGCGACGATGAGTATAGCCGTCGTCGCTTTCCTCCGTCCAACACAACAGTTTTTCGTCGAGCAGCGCTTGGTCTGGGCCCTGATCATGGTGGCTATCTCTATGACCCCGACAGCTGGTCAATCAATTTTCCAGTTCATACTCAGGATCGCAGGTACCGCCGTCGCAATGATCGTAGCCTGGCTCATTTGGTACATTCCTGGGCAACAGACTGCGGGTATCCTGGTTTTCCTTTGGTTCTTCGTCGCAATCGGCTTCTACATCCCGTTGAAACGAATGGACCTCGTCATCGTTGGAATGATCAGTGTGGTCACTGCTACTATGATAGTCGGTTATGAACTACAAGTGCGCAAGATCGGAGAACAAGCCGCAACAGCTACAACAGGTCAGCCTGCATACCCGATCTATACACTCGGCCCCTACCGTCTTGCCACCGTAGTGGGTGGTCTAGCTGTCGCCTTCTTCTGGACTATATTTCCCTACCCTATCACCGAGCACTCTGCGCTCCGACAGAAACTTGGTGGCGCGCTATACCTTTCCGCAAATATGTACAGCATCATGCACGAACAGGTCATGGGCCGCATCCGCGGTGAGCTAGGCGGCGACGAAGAGACTGACAAAGAGAGTCCAGGCTACCAGCTCGTCAAGGCTCGGAATAAGGTCTTCGCCAAACAGATGCTCACCCTGCAAGGGCTGAAAATGCATGCCGGATTTGTCAAGTGGGAGTTCCCACTTGGAGGCAAGTTTCCCAAAGAAGAGTACGAGAAAATCATTGGTTACGTCGAGAAGTACGCATTACCCCCAACAATGCAGCACTGCAATGGATTGAGCATGACTAACAAAACACATCAGCATCGTAAACTACACGGCCCTCCTAGGCTACGCCTCCCAAGCCTTCACCCACCCCTCCCTTAACCACCAATCCGCCGATCCCACATCCCCCGAAACAGAAGAAGCCGCTTTCCCCGACCACCACTCCGCGCAATGGTTCAACGACTTCCGCCGCGTCATCCTCTCCGCGAAAGTAACTTCGCATGAGATTACCTCATTACTCGCAATGCTCTCTTCCAGCGTCACAAACGCTCAGCCCTTGCCTCCTTATCTACACGCCCCACCAGGTGGGCAGCTCAGCCGGAAACTAGAAATGGTAGACCCAGAGATCTTGAGCTTGAGACACATCGCCGAGCCAGGTTACGCGGCGTTTGCGGTCATGAGTATAAGTACGAGATGTATACACATGGATATTGAACGGTTGTTGAAGGCCGTCAAGGGGTTGGTGGGCGAGTTGGACTTCTCATTCCATGTCGTTAGCACGAAGGATGCTGCGAGTTCGGATGACACGCTTGTTAAGAGGAGTTCGAGGAAGCAGGATTAGACATGTTATAGATTGTACAGCTTTTGTAATATTTGGTAAGGGGAAAGAGATTCACACGATTGTATATAAGGCTGGGCAACGTTGGTTATGACAAAAGTGTAATAATAACAGGGGGCGTCCCCATCCATACGAAGAATCTAGCTAAAGAGCGATGAGAAGACATCATCGCCAACCGTGTTACACCACATCACCTCTCTCTCGTCAGCGGGCATCGGAGTGTTGGACCCGGCGCCGCTGACTCGAGAAATCCGAACATTGACCAGAGAGCACCAAACCATTCTCGCAGAAACGCTCGCCGTATCGTCCTCAAGTTTGAGCAAGAATTTACTGGCAAGTACCAACAGCCCTCGCGGAGAAGATGGGCTTGTTAGGTCCGAATGTACCGCAACGACCGGTGACGTCGTAGACGATGCTGTTGACGCTCGAGCAAGTGTTGTCAGAGTATGCAACGACTAACACGATCAGATTAGTTCTCATCATCCCGAAACCAATTGCTTCATTCAAGGTAACTCACGGGTGCAACCAGCAGGCAGCGCCGGCAAGTCGGTAGGGAGGATCAACGCGGAGTCTGTGTTTCCGCTGAAGATGGGCGAGGTAGGGAAGCAGGAGCCATCGGCGGGGATGTACGCGGTCGTCACGGCGATGCCGCTGTTGCAGCCTGGACCAGAGTAGAACTTGAGGGGGATGGTGTCGAGGCGCTTGCTCATCTCCGTTGGGGCAGCGTTGACGCTGACGGCAGCGATGAGGAGGGCGATGGTGGTTGTGAACTGCATTTTGAAGAGGTTGTGTGGTTGGTTTGCTTGAGCGAAGTGTAGTGGAAGGTGTTAATGATACTGTTGTGATGCAGACTATTTGATGGGTAGATGCTGTAATATTTATGCTTTGTCGTGAGGCTCATTTCCTGGGCAAGGTATGCCTAGCTGTTCTCAAAGTTTCGTTAGCCTACCTCTGCTGACACGAAGGATGCCTCTTCGCACGGACGTCTCAACGAAGTTTGCATGGCCTATGGATCTCTTGAAGATGTTGGTGTGAACAGATACGAGGGCTGACGTCTGGCGATGTCGGCCTACGGCGCAGGTATCATGGTGCATCAAGCTCCCACATCCGACCCTGCGAGAGATCATTGGTCGTCCACTGGATAGGATTCTGGGAGGTCTGGCTCCAGGCCAAAAGAGGCGTTATTTCCAACACCTATGCGACTAGGCTGATGCTTTCGCGATGCTGTTGAGAGCTTGGGATGCACACTTTCGCCTCACCGCCAGTAGTCAATCGTGTTGGTGGTGAGCCAAACTTGTTCCTCATTCTCTTCTAGAAGGCTGATTCACCCTCGTGGGTAGACCGTATCATCCTTAGCGCATCTTACTGTGCAATAGTTGTGTGACCTATAGGTACATGCTACTGCTCAGCTCACTCAGAAAGCGCAACACCAATTGCGAACACGTAACAGCATCCGGATTAAGGCCGCGATGAGTCGGACGGATCGTCGGGTCGACTCGTACCTGTTGGAGGTAATACAACAGTATGCAGATGGGAGCCGCTAAGGTTGAGGAGGATGAAAGGGTATGCATCGTCTGCATGATCCTGCTGCACCGCATCGTCGGATATGTGGATCTTGTATTCCTTGATGCTATCACAGTCTTCGCAGCGAGATGCTTTGCGAGAAACGTATGAGTACGTAGATAAGGTGCAGACGCTGGGTTTGCGGAAACCGACGTTCTCATTGCTAAGAAAAGGCTGTGAGCTCTCCGATCCAATGTGTTGCTCGATCTCCCGTAAGCATAACCCGACCTGTCACTGGATGTGGCGTATTCCGAGTGAAGCTGACATGCAAGTGATGTGACCAGCCTGCATTTCCAAGCAGAAGTTCTGACGTTCGTTTGCCTGACACCAGCCATCGAATCGATGATATGTTTCTTTTCTCGTATGAACCTGGTCTGCTACCCTGGTAGGCGATCCTGCGAGGCTGGACGTCCCGTGCCGCTGACAAGGTCTAGGCTTTCCGAAGGGGCCGCATGGTAGCGGAAGCGCTAGGTTCCTTGGTGAGCCGTACGGAAGCGATGTTGGTGAGATGGGCTAAGCGCGAACGATGGCCCGCAGGAGGTGGTGCAGGTAGGTGTAGATGAACTGTAGTAGGGAGGCCACGATGCGGATTGAGACCGATCATTGAGACACGATCTCATCTGCACCTCCTTTGTAAATCAAAATGGTCGCTTCAATGACGTACGTTAGTATCCGAGCACCAGGCGTAGCAAGTGCCATTGTAGTATTTTACCACTCAGATCAGATGTTGCCACCCCGTAACTATAGGCTAAATGCGATGCGATGCAGGACTGGCCCACGAACTTCCTCGCTTCGAAACTGCAGCTCGGAGATGCTAACGCAAACCGATGAATTCGTACCACGGACTTTTGTTGGTCGAGATGTGAGCATCATGCCCGGTGACGCCGGAGGAACATGAGGTGGCTTCAAGACACCTTTCCACTGCAGACTTTGTACCCGTCGCCCCATAATCGAGTATGGTGGAAAACAACAGCGGATGGATTGCGACACGCCAGGAGCCTAGAGTTTAGTTGCTTTAGATACAAGATTGACTTAGCGTGGTGAGGTGGGAGATGAAGGACCATGCGGTAGATTTGGAAGCGAGGCCACCTTGCTGCTTAGTCATGCTTCAGTGGCGGGGCAATCGTGAAGGAATGCGACTGAAGTCATGTGCGAAGTTTAAGAAGCTGCTTTGATAATTTGAGCAATGTCCTTCACCATTTCAACCTCATGCAATTCACATTGACTAGGCATACCTCGAGGGTGGCCCACACTTGCGCCTAGGCCTCCGCGGCCTCCGCGGCCTCCGCGGCCTCGCGATACTCCCGTCTCTGTCTCAAAATGATCGAAGCAATATCCTCACCTGATTCTCCTCCTCCAAGACTGCGTACAAAACCCAAGAACTCACTCTTTTGATCTGGCGTCCAATCAGCTTGGATGTAGTCGATCGCGCCCTTCAAGGCATCGGTGCCTATCTTCTTACCCTTAAGCCTCGCCTCATAGTTGTCAATATCGTAAGGAATACGACCGGACCCTTTTTTGCGCTCTAGTTGATCCTCCACTACCTTGTCTGTCTCTAATCCCACGTCACATGCGCTACGTCCATCGTTGTCTCGAGCCACAATAGCCACTCCAGACATCTTGGCGAGCAGATAGGCAACTACCTTCGGCACCTCATGCATGTATAAGTCGTCGATCGTTTTCCGATTTGAAACATGATGTAAAGCTGTCTGACCATGGTTATCTTGGTGGTTCGCGTCGGCTCCAAGTTTCACCAGTTCAATAACGACATCCGATGGACTTGACTCGCAGGCCAATTGCAAGGCAGTGACTCCCCCAAGGCTCCCAGTAGTGCTTGACCCCGTGGGTGCATCGATAGGAAACTCATAACGTAGGAATGTGTTCAAAACCTCCAGTCGTGGTCCAAAATTGGCTCTTTCAGGAGATTCGAAGATCTTATGAAAAGCAGTGTTGCCGTCCAAGTCCAAGGCAAGTGTGTCCGTGCCTGCCTTGATCAGCATTTCTACCCCTTCACTAGCTCCCTGAAATTGTCCTTTTTCATTAATCCGCCACAGCCACATAGGCATACAGTGCAGGGCTGTGCGTCCTAGTTGATCCTTCAAGTTCGGTTTGGCACCATGTCGTAGTAGCATTCCAACGAGTCGAGTATAACCATGATGAGCTGCAAAATGTAGCGGTGTAACATCAGCTCTGTCGAAGTCATCGTCCTTGTAACCGGTACCAGGATTGGTGGCACTCATTCGTGTCAGGCCTTTCTCACCAAAATCGTAGGATATGTCAGCCGAAAACGAATCATCGTTACTCCTGGTGGTACTTTTCTCATGGATGAGGCCATGAACGAAAGGCTTGTGTGGAAGCTTAATCGTGAGGGCGTTTGGATTGGCTTTCGAAGAGAGAAGTGCGTCTACAATAGCCGGATTGCCGAGCCCACACGCGATGTGAATAGGCTGCTGACCTACAACGTCCTCCAAGTTTGGATCCGCGCCATGAGATAGTAGATGTTTGACCGTCTCGGCACTTCCGGAAAGCACGGCGTAGAAGATCGGAGTCCGGTTGCGTACGTCCCGTACGTTAACGTCAATTCGACGATGCTCCAGACAGTATCTCACCAATTTGATCTGCCCCAGTAGACTTGCTAAGTGAAGAAGTCCGATATCGTACCAAAAGTATTTATGAGCACTCGTCTCCACATGTGCCCATATCCAAAACTGACGCGCAGAGTCATCCTCATCTAATAATGGGTGGCTTTCATTTTCTGATTTCACCATCAACGATGCAGACAGGTGCTGGAACCCATACTGGCAGGAGTATCCTATCAAAGGATTCCTTCTTGATCTGACTTGCACCAGATGCGGGAAGACGGTGGTAGGCCTTGTCATTCTAGCCCTTATGTCGGCTGCATATTCAAAAGTCCGGTTGGCGAGCTTCCAGTGCGACATGCGAGGCTTGATCAAATATTCAGGGACCGATTCATCGTCAATCTGGACAAGAAAGTCGCGGAATGATGCGTGCACAAGCATGACTTCCTTTGCCTCTGATACAAGAAGTAGATCTCTTGCACACCTCACGAAATCTGCAGTAGCGTCTTCGAGGTCTTGATCGTCGGCAGGTGATAACTCTAGAGCCGTCCCGATCTCAAGTAGCGTCAGGGGGCGATATGCTGTTGTCACCCAGCGTATGATCTCGAATACCTTATCTTTCTGACGGTCTGGTAGCGCGCGTAGTATCCTGGTATAAACATCGTCGAGACCTCGTGGGAATTCGGTAATAGCCTCCTCGAGCTCAGGGCATATGACACTCTCTAGTGACTTGATCGCGAATTTGACCCATAGGTAACTTCCATCCGCGCCGTCTACGAGCCTTTGTCGGACTTTCGAGCGCAGTTGACCGAGTTTGGGCTTCTTGTGTTCAGCGCAGGCCAGCAGTTTCATCCGATCGTCGATGTAGTTTCCAACGTCCTTGCTGATCTCGACGTTATGTGACACGTCAATGCGCAGTCGAGGAAACGTATCCAGGAATATCTCAAATGACTCTGGATAATTTCTGCTGATGGCGATACCTTTGAGTTTTGTTGACTGATTCTTCGAAAGATCAGGTGTTGTAGGGGCGAAGACATCGCGAATCTTGGTCAAAAACGGAGTAAGCGCTTCTTCGACACACTCGTCCAAACCATCCATAATGCAGGTAACGGAGTCCAGGGTTGAATCTCGGATCATTGAATTGAACACTTTCCACAGGGCCTCGAATCGATCATCTTCAAACAACGATTTCCCATGATTGGAGAATGGATCCTGGATATGACGAAAGGTTGCTTCGTTGATCATGAGCATCTGATAGACAAGGCCTCGCAATATCGAGGGCCCGGAATTCCGCCCATCCTGTGCCCCGCAGAAGAAGTAGATGACCATTTGGCGATCTGGTTTATGAGCGTGCGTTGTTTCGCAGTGTTCGACAAGGAAATGTGCAAGCATGGTCTTCCCTTTGCCGGGACCACCGGTGATCCAGAGCAGTCGCGGTGGGTCCGAATCGTTCCATTCTGCGAACTCTTTTGTGTGTAAGATCCATTGACACGTGCCTTTCAACCATCGCCCGTTCAGGGTGATGAGATCGTCTTTGTAGTCCCGCGGGTCACCGGAAAGAGTACTGAGAAGCTGGTGCAGACAATCTCTGTAGGGTTTCTTCTCTCCAGTGTTCCCTAAGAAGGTGTTGACGTTTCCAAAGTGAAGATTGCCTCCGGCGTGAATGTTTCCTTGATTGAGTGTCGAACCCATCGTATTATCGCCAGTTAAGGCAGATGAATGCGTTGGCCCCATATTCCAGCCACGATATCACCTTCTCTGGGAGTTCTGACGTGAGTAGATATTGGATATGTGGTAAGAAAGCAATTGTTTGCTGTTTCTCGGTCACGTTCCAAGACAGACCGAAAGCTGCAGGCGACCGTTGTGTGACCATAGCAAAGTGTGCTTCCGTCTGATCACGGAACTTCGGCAATCGTGCTTGCGACATCAGCCTGAGTTTGCAAAACCATCAAGCCATCGATATGCCAGTTGTCGTATCTGTGTTGATCCGTTGATTGCTGCCAGTCTTGGATGTATACTTGTCCGAATCCCGCAATAATGGAAGGAGAGACAATGCGCAAGTTCTTCTCGAAACGCGAATCAACTACAGGCCGCGTAGATCTCCGCGGCGGTGAGCGAGACATTTCGGCGGCGCCAGCACCCACTGAGCAAGCATTGGTGTTATCGTCAACAATAGAGACAAGGTAAGTGACACTGCTGTTCATTCGATACAGCTCTGACGATACAGTATGCCAACCGAAGCAGCTAAGGCTTACGGGCCGCTGGTGCTGAACGACCCCGATAAGGCTACAGTGGAGTAAGTGCTGAAGGCGCCGCCACTGCCAGAAAGCCTGCTAATTCCTGACAGTATCGTCCTCATCCATGGTCTCGGTGGAGATCGAACAGGAACCTGGACAGAGCGTACGGCGGATGCCGAACGAACACCCTGCTTCTGGCCCAAGGACCTGCTTCCCATCGATCTACCCGACGCGCGCATCATCACATGGGGCTATGCCGCAGCAACGATCAAGGCGCTGAATGTCGTATCGATTGCAAACCCAACGCAGCACGCGGAGAAACTCTGCTCAGAGCTAGCAAGCCTCCGAGTTGGTGTCCTTGATCGCCCGATCCTTTTCGTCGCTCATAGCATGGGAGGTATAGTAGCTAAGAAAGCCCTTCTCAATTCGCAAGACTCCAATGTCGACAGTATCGCTCCTTTGGTAGATGATACACGCGGCATCGTTTTCATGGGTACGCCTCATTGTGGCTCGAAGTCGGCTGATGTAGCCTCTTTCCTCGCCAAAATCGTTCGCGTCTGCACCTTTCAGCAAGTCAACACTTCGATGCTCAACGAGTTGCAGAGCCAGAACCCGCAGCTCAATGAACTCCAGAACCACTTCCATCGGTTGCTTGTCAAGCGCATGAAAGAAGATTGCGCCATACAGGTGCGCTGCTTCTACGAGACACTACCCTTGGCCAGCATCAAAGATGTCGTCGTTCCAGTTCACTCGGCTGCTCCGCCCGTTTTCGAGGGTTCAGTGGAGGTGGATGCGAACCATATCGACATGACCAAGTTCTCGAGCAAGGAGGACCAAACGTACAAGAACGTACTGGCGGAGCTGCTGCGAATGATCGAGTTGGCGAAGAAGCAACGTAAAGATGACAGCGACCCTAGTATGCAGAGAGGCGGCGTCAGCCACATTGGGAACAACGATCAAGGTGCCTTGGCCAACTACGGAAGTCAGACTATCGGTACGGGTAATGGAGGCTCAACCCATTACGGTAAGTGATTCTTGTGCCATGATTGGTTGTTGTGCTGATGATACCAGGAAATGTTAACGACTTCCGGGGTTCCTGAGCCGGGTCATGGTTTCCGTTGGTGGGAAGTAAAGCATGTGTTTCGGCGTGACGCAAGGCGTTGGTGTGTAGTCGTATAGTGCATTCGAAATGGTCACACCAGCTCGATATCCACGAGCTGATCTTTGACATCTTTCCACACCTCTCCTTGCATAGCCCCATGTACATATGCATCGCCCATCACCTCCCATGCTCTTCTCGCATCTCCATCGGAAACGTGCCGATTTGATTCCCTTAAGACATAAGGAACATTGGCACCCTGCAGTAGCCAAACTACGTCCCCAGCTTCACAGCTAGTCGGCACCAGACCCAAGAAGCCATTTTTGGTCCTAGCCAAGCGCCGAAATTGACCATTTCTATTGATTGCGCCACCGAATTTGTGGTCTTGCCAGTCACGCTCAATTTCTGCCTCGCTAGCTGTGGGCCCGAGGCGGGCTATGCGATCGCTGATGGAAGACAGAGAGGTATCTGGGCGATGGAAATCGGCGATGTAAGGACATTTGGAATTGCATGAAGGACGGCGCAGATATGTGCGGCTGGTATCCATTTGTGTCAGGTTCGCTCCGCAAGTGCAGCTTTGCTGCTCCGTATGTCGGACATCAGCCCGAGATATCGCGAAGCCAGAACTATCGCCTTCGGAGAGCATGTCTATGTCGCGGAGGATTGGAGAAGCTATACTTTCGTAACCCGTTGTCGTCTCTTTATTATCGGGGTAGTAGAGCAAGCGATGGAGACAGCGGACGACCGAAGCGCACGTTAGTCGCTTCACCACGTGTTTGAAACGGTCCATGTCGGGTTGGTGGTCAAGAGGCAAATGACCAACGTCATTGGCGACCAGTGTGGTGGTTAATGCCTCGCATCGTGTTTGTCCTGTAGACCGATAAAATTTCGGAAGGTTTAGTGTAAGCGCGCTCCACCGAGGATCGAATTGCAAGCGCTTTCCGTGCCATGCCCATGATCCGGCAAGCTCCACAATACAGTCAATTTTGAACCCACGAGCTCCGAGCACGCGGTCATCCGTAGGCACAATCATCAAGGCGTCCAATCTCGACCCTGAGGTGGCATTGTAGCCCACGCTTGCGGAGGCAAGCTCTGATTGTAAGGCCTTGTCTTCGAACTCTCCGACCCAAGTTGGAAATCCTGAAAACTTTCGTACGGATAGGTCGGTAACCCAACTCAGGCAGTTGAGATTCTTCGTCTCATCAATGAGACAACGCAGCGCTTCGATATAAACCTGCTCTGGGCTCTTACTGTAATCGGCAGTTAGCCCAAAAGCCCCGCGAGGTACTATGCCTAACAATGCAAAGACCTTGTCTTTGGGATTTTCGCACCCGGTCATGCGGGCCAAAGTCAGGATTTGCTGAAAAGTAAAAGGCAATGTCTTCTCTTGCGTTGTAGGCGGGTTTAGTAATCGCCACCGATTGTGGAATAGCTCCAGAATGGCCTTTTCATGGTCGTAGTGACGATTGTTTTTGATGGGGAGAGTCAGTGCTTGCCCAACCTTTTCGTGAAATCGATGCTTCTTGATCCATGCAACCAGTAGCGCGACTCTTTGAAGTTCTGGAAAGTCCAAGATGTCCGTACCACACAACATACGGATGTGTCGAGCAAGCATGACTTCCTGAAGTACCCAGCAACGAAAGAAATACTTTCTTGCGAGAAAACGAGTCAAGCTTTCAAGTTTTTCGGCAGGGATCAAGCTGACTTTTGTTTTGTCGTCTTGTTCCAACGCCTTTTCCACGAAGTCTGTGTATGTTGAGCATTGCTGATCCTCTTGCATATCGTCGAAACATTGCAGTTTGTTGAGGCGCCGCATGAGTGGTATGGCTTGCTCACTATCCTCATCCGCGGGGCCCAGCCACGATATGACCAATGAAGCTTTGCTGTAGATCTGAGCCATCAAGCCAACCTGCGTATTTCGCTCTTGAACATCGTCTTGATTGACACATAATTTGTCCTAGGGATCAGCGTCTACAGTTAGTCGGGATACCATATTTGTTTCGCACGGGGGGTTACGAACAATCCAGAGGTATTGCCCTTGGCATTCGACTTCCTGACACTTTACGCTCAATTTGCAGATAGCCCTGAGCGCAGACTCCAAATTGGCCGTAACATTGATGCGCAGTCCATTGCAGATGATGATCACTTCCTGCACCCATGTTGTGGACTTTCCTTCCTCGAACCAGTAACGATACAGTGGGTCGCCCCAAGTGTAAGACAACGCGTGGAACTTCGGGGTGTTGTGCTCAAGATCAGTCAGGTGGAGCGTGCATGTGATAGGTTCGTCGTCTTTCTGTACTGGGTGAAGCTCGATGACGCGGATCGATGTCGCTGTCGGCAAGGGAGTGTACAGGTCTGGATGTCGCGACCGTGGCGCGTCCATGGTGCAGATGTGGGGCTGCGAACTAGCTCTCGTTTCGCTGGAGCACAATCGGCCCGACAGCACTATATAGCATCAGTAGTGACCTTGGCACAAAACAGCAGTAGAATACCTTGAAGAGGACTTATGGATCTCGTTCCATCGTTGTCGTGTCATTTGGAGCAAAGTTGAATTTGTAATTGAACCTTGGAAAGATCCAAAGTGAGGCAACGCATTATCGTGCTGACCAAGACGCTAACCACATTGGATCGGTTGGGCAGCCGTGGAAACGAAGAACTGCACTCTGCGAGAAGCACCACGACATGGCACGACTGAGTGAATATCAATGAGTAAATAGATTATATCGTCCAACGTGATGCTACAGACTTTTCATCAGACTGCGCCAGAAACACCCATCGATGCAATGCGAGTTTTTCCCTCTTATCCACGCACCTACGCATCATCACCCTTCTCCGCCTTCTTCTCCCTCCACTGCTCCTCAAGCGCCTTGACCTTCTCTACGCCCTTCTTGTTGCCCACACTGCTCTCCCACTCAGCCCATTTCTTGAACACACTCCGTATCCTCGAGGCCTTTCCGACCTTGGTCATACGCTCAAACAGGTCGCGGACATTGTCTGCGCTGCCGTGGCTCTGCTCCAACATGAGGTACATGTCCCAGACATCGCCCTTCTTGGAGAAGGTGTCGACAAGGCCCTCAAAGATGGTGCGGCCGCGTTCGGCGTCGCCGTTAGGGCTCTTGAACTCGAGTGCGGCGAACTTTTGTGTCAGGTAGCGGTGTTGCGTTGATGCAACGGATTGGGTGGCGCGTTGAAGGAGAGCGCGAGCTCGTGTGGGGGAGGGTGGCTGTACGACGTCCATCAGGAACGCTGCATATGAGAGCCAGAATTGAGGGTCCGGTGTGAACGACTTGTTCTTCATCATGGATTGGTAGAGGCTGTCCGCTTTCTGTTCTGGTATTAGCAAACTTCGCAAGGGT